TTATAAATCTCTTCATAAACTTCCTTCACCATACCCCAAGTATCAGTCAGACAACAGATTTTGAATGAAATGAAAACTTTGCATATGCAGAATGTCATTATTGAAGACGATGAACGAGCGGATGAGGTGCGCGAAGTTTTGAGAGGATTAGAAACGAAACGCGTTTTGAACAGTGAAATAGGCATCTCTAAAATTAACCAGTACCGTGAGTTGTTTCACAAGTGGGACGACCAAGAGTTTGTCAAGATGTGTCGAATGAAGAAGGTGTCCTTGTTGAATCTTCATCGTTTTACTGAAGATCACCTGTCTTCAACAACAAGAGTTTGGTCGCCCAAACAGATGTTCATATCCAACTTGCGGTGATCTTAAAACGATTGAACCATGACGGAACAGCCAACAGCATCGACCAGATAGCTACTTTGTTTGGGTTCATTAAAGGCTTTGCCACTAATTACACGAAACGCTATTTCAAGGCAATTAATGACAACCTTGGACATTTCATGCGTTGGCCCAACAAAAAGCAAAAAGACTAGTCGGCCGCAGGAATCAAAAAGTACCGCTTTTTTCGAAATTGCATTTGGTGTATTCATGGTACCCATTTCCATCTTGCCCAGAAGCCAACCAAGTATGCCGAAACGTATTACAACTTGGGGTTCGGAATGAATGTCAAAACTCTCGAGTGAGCTTCAATCGTGTTCCAGTCGAAGCTCGCTCGAATACGTTTTTTTGCAGCTCGAGCTCACTCAAAGTTTTTTAAGCTCGGCTCGGTGGCAAATACCATAGCTCGAATTTGCCCGCCTTTTTAATTACACAAAGTGCACGTCAATGTGATGTTAATTGCCGAAAGGTATAATAATAAAATTGTTATATATTGAAATAAAAGTTGGAAAAAGAAAAAAAAACTTTTTTTTCAACAGCCTTAGAACCAAATTCGGATACTTAAAGCAAACTATTACTGCATCTATAAATATAATACATTTGGATTTGTGAACATGAAAGTTTAAATTAATTCTGCTACGTCATGTTACTATGGTTGCCGTAAAAATTTCGGTTAGTTGGGTTAAGTGTACAACACTGTATCATTTTCTATACTAAATGTGTTTGTTGGTTGTACAATTAAATAAAAGTCTAAAGCATTTTAGTTCAAATTATTAGAGCATAAATAAAAATAAATGGTGAAGGGAAGAAAAGATTAAAATCAAGGGGAAAAGCCATCACTAGTCTTTCCAGGACCTTAACTTTAAAGTAACCACTGTCCACATTTTAGCCGAGCGAGCTTCGATTGATGCCGGCTCGAACCCAAAAAAAAAGTGGCGCAGGCTCGAGTATAAAAACTCGGTTTGAGTTTCGCTTGAACTGGCGCAAGATCAATGCAAGCTCAAAAAGGTCCAACACTAATTACAACAGGGAAGGTTTTTACTCTTTGAATTGTCAAGTTGTATGCAAGAAAAGAATGATCATATTTGGATGGCAAGTAGGACATGTTGGTTACGTGGATGCCACATGTGTAGAGCATGCCAGCGGGGATGAGGTGCTGTTTTTTGCTGTGGGGGAAAGGGTGATGGTGGTTGATATAAAGATGATGTCTGACCGGGGGGAGACAATTGATGTGGAACAGTTCTTCCTGTACTAGTTGGAGATTGTAGGTTGTCGGACAGAGAAGGTCGAACATGGTCAAAAATTGATGACAATGGATGGGAAGAGGACGAGGAGGGCAAAGAGTTTGCTTCTGCACTAGGGAAAGTTACATGTGGTAAAGCTTTGTTGTCTGCAAAGCATCTCGTTTGATAACAGTAAGCACAGGGTCGTCCAATCGTAAAATAAACCTGAAGTATTTCATCCGACTGCTGATATATTTCATCAGAGTCGAAGCCAGATTTGTCAATAGTAGATCGTCTGGTGAACTCATTCTTGTAATTCTCAACAAGACTCTTCTATTTACTCTTGATAGGTTCATACTCTCGATGCACTCGCGAGGTGGAATATTGGCATGTTGAGCATTTTCATTATACTCTTTTCTCAAATTACGGTAAGCTATAGCAGTGTTGGAATCGCTTTTTCAACTTTCAAAAGTAGGTACGTGAATGGCATAGCATTGGATAAGCAAAAATGTTTCTAACGTTGACCATGAAAAGCCACGTTTTCCTTGAGAACTGGAAGTGTCTCCAAATGAACATTGTTAGAGAAGATAAATAAAAAAATGAACTTCTAGAAAACAAAGTGAAAGGAAGAATAAACGATTGTGGATTTTTATATGTTTAAACAGCCGTTATCTCCTAGTATTTCCGTAACACATTTAGACTGCCTGTTTATTATGGTCGACTCACACGTTACTTAACGATGGAAAACTCACTTTTACCATAGGAACGAGTTACCAATTTTAACCCCCGGCTTTAATAAATTAAGATATTTGAATACAAACATTTAAAGAATGTTAAAAACTTTTGATTTTCAACTTTTTCAACGTTTCCACAACTCCAAAAAAGCTTCCACTAGAGCCATATCTGTCATTTGCAATATCCACTCTAAATACGCCTATCATTAGGAACTACTGGTTTCCTTGAATTACATTTGAAGAGCCTCCGATGAATGGTTTTAAATGGCAACCATTCGAGCCATTCAAAAACAAATTTATGAAGTACTCGCTTTTAAAATTTGTTTTCCATTCTTTTTTCTTAAAATGCCCATCAATCCTACTTTTTCTGCAAGCGAGGTTATTTATTTCGTTCCCATAACCAACATTTCATCATCCATATTGATCAATCAACAACTGAATCACCATCATTAACCCCAATGTAGTAGCAGCCCATCACTTATTCTTGCATAATAAACGCTCTAAATTAGATATACAGTCCTGAAAAGAACAAAATGGATAGATACCGGGGTATGACTACAAGCGATCACTACATTACTATTGATCATTGCATAAATACTGATCTTTCCATTACTACCGATCATTGCATTACCAACAGAATTGCAAAATCACTGTACTTGCCGAATCGCTTTACTTACATAATCGCTTAATTTTTTTTTTAATTTACGAAAATTAAGTGTGTACTATAGGGGATACCGCAAAAATTGATAGAGAAAACAGGGGTTCGTATGATAAATCCCAAAAACCACCCAATATCATATACCGAAAGCTACATAAAACCTAATAAAAAAAACCCAAAATTGCAGCGTCAAACCCATCCACCTTCTTACAATAGCTATTAACATAAAAGTGTCTATCCAAAAAATGACGATCCTTTTTAAACTAGCCCGTAATTTTTTCCTTGTGGTTTTTTTTATAATGGTTATCTACTTGATGTTTTAAGGCCACCATTTAATCAACCAGTAAGAGAGACTTGTAATGGATTTACTTGCGCTCATACCTAACATAATATCTTAACATTAGACGCACCATTGAGTTTCATTCGTTCTTGAATTCCAATGGAAGATCTGGTGTTAAACTCATTTTCCTGAAAGCCATTTGAACCATTCAGAAAATTAGCATGACGTACTTTTTGTTAAAAGATTGTGGTCATTTCTTTTCTTTTACTTTTAATATGCGCACCTAACCCGCTTTTCTTCGAAAGTAATTTTGTTTGCTCTGATCTCCGTCATGTCAACATCTGTCTTGAATCATCTTTAAGTGTATGACCAACAGTAACATCGGTCGAAGCAACCAAATCTAAGCATTAGCGTAACCGACCAAAGCCAAACCACCAATCGTCGTCAATAATCATTTTTCAGGGGCAAGATATAGTAGTCAATATGGAAATTGCCCCAAAAATAGTTTAAGAGAGAGTCTGACTATCGTTGCTATCACTCCTTAAAAAACGAGAATGACAGTAATATCTTTATCAGTTTTTTTTAGATAAAGTTGCATGTGTTTGTGAAAAAAAAAGAATACGAAAACAGGGGCAACCGGGAGGATGAATTAAAAAAAAACAATTGATTTGTTATGGCCTGTGTATTTTTAATCTCCCTAGGCAGTATAACCGAGGTTCTAAACGTCTCTAATTTTGGGAAACAACAATAATGGTGTTCTTTTTTCATATTGGGGTTGTAATCAAAGTATCCCCTCCGGATTGGTATTTATGAAAAAAATCATTGCAACTACAATATCCATATGCTGCTATGTTTTTTCAGCTGACCGATATAACTGATCATTCCTGGCTGCAGATCTCCCTTTTTGCGTTTTTTTGTCGAAGGATCAATTCATGTCATTCATCTGGGCATGCATCCCACTTTTTCGTTCTGAAATCACAGTCTGCTTTGGAAAAAGTATCTTAAAACTATCTTTTTTTAATATAAAGCTCTTTAAAATAAAATCCACAAACTCCCATCATATGAATAACAGAGAAGTCGAAAAAAACAATAGGTATAACGAAGAATATTTTATAGGAATATAAAAAAAAGTTTGGCACTCACTTTTTTCAGTATAATGTGGAATAAAAACTATGTGTCGGAACCGTAAATAAAAGAAAAAAATGAAAAAATAATAATAGAAGGTATTTACGGTCCGGGATGAAGAAATATGAAAAAAAATTAAAAAAGAAATAAAATAACCGTGTTTTGGCAATTGGTAATATTAAAAGAAAAAAAATCCAAATATTGTTTGTTTAAAGATTGCACCAAGAGATAGGTAGTTGATTGCTGTAATAGTTGGAACCGTAAATATCATTAAATAATGCATCCCATGTTGATCCTGAAATATGGGTGACTGGATATCTAGCAGGATCTCCAACAGGTGTTTGTAAACGTTTCACAGTTTGTAGGTATTGTAATTGATAAGCGTGCTGGTTTACATTATTTGACACCGATTGCATAAATTTTTGATATTGTTTATAAGCATATTGGTACTGCTGAATACTTGCAGCTGCAATCTCACTCCAACAAATATCATGACAGTCGTACAAATATCCTGCTGTTATTGTTGTGGCTGCTACTGGTGGTCGTACTGCTGTTGGTGCTATAGTTCTTGGTGCTACAGACTCAAGTAGTTGCAAAGGTCGCAAACCAATTGTATAAAAGATACTAAGCAACGTTTTTTCTTGTTCAAATTGGCTAGCTTGTACATAGTAAACTGACAATCGGTCATGACATTCATCCGTCAACGTTTTCCATTGATTGAATTCTTCAGTTCGAATTAACAATCGATAACTGATGCCTTCCAGGAACTCGGCTTCCATAAGGTTCAGGTCGCGTAAATTCATGCCTGTTACCTCCGACCATGTTGTGTTAGCAAAAGTAATATCGTCCAAGAATTTGCAGGCTATTATGAAAACAAACAGTTAAATAAAAAATCACTCTTTGTTCATTGTTTCCAAAGTTTTTTTTACCCAGTATCAATGCAACAACGAAAATACGGTACTCAGATCCTTCCGATCCTTCCATAGTTGGATTCAGTTGTATGAGTAAAGCCACGTATTTCAAGGAAAGATATACAGTAGACTCATCAATTTCCATGTCTTTAAAAATCTAAAAGAAAAAAACTAAGTTTTTTTTTTACTGCGCACACAAAGTTTGGAAACTTACATTTAAGCAAAAGGCGCCAAATGACGAGATGGATTGACCATATTCCCAGAAGGAGTTTTTATAGACACACGAATTAGTCATGTCTGTGAATTTACGTCCGTGCCACATTACATAAACCATGGACGATGCTAATTCTGCAAGACAATCCAAGCTTTGAGAACCTGCGCTTTGGGTATGGAGTTCGTCTGGTGAGATATATAGTTGCTGGTTGGGAAGCATTTTTTTGTTTTGTTTTTGTAAGAAAAACTATAGGTGGTTTGAGTGTTTTTTCCGGAAAAAAAGGGCGAGTTTTTTTAGATTTAACGTGCTGTATAAAAAAAAAGTAAAAAATAAAAGAGGAAAAAGGCGCAGTTCAATTTTTTTTAAACAGTCCTTTATACCTAAAAAAGCACGTCACACGTCACGTAGTACAAGAATGTGTTTCTCTGCAAAATCATTTACAGTATAAAGAAGACAAAGAAGGAGATGAACAGAAAATGAAATCTGTGTGAGTGACATAGTAATAAAATGATAATACATAAATGCTATTTCTCTTGTGTTGTGTGTCGATGTTTTAGGGGGATTGGTTTTATAACTATTTTTTATTGTCTCACGCTGTAGTCAGTGCGTGTTAAAAATTACCCAATTATAGTGTCAATCTTCAAAATCAGTTTTCAGTTTTTTCATATTTTCCGCCTTCACTTGTAATTTAAAGGTTAACGTGTCGTTATCATCTTCAGTGTCGTTTAATAATTGATAATAGGCCATCTTTAACATTTGTTTTTATATCTATCCCTTCTTTTAAATGACTGTTTTTGTTCTTGAAAATCGGGGCTACGTTTCCAAACAGTATACGAGATTTCACCACAGGTCAGCAAAAGAGTTGTTGTAAAGCATCTTATAACATCTTATCTGCTAATTCTAGCATTGATGTTCGAAAAAACTGCACGTCTCTACATAATATGATTTACCTAAAAACTTTCGAACTAAAGACTACTCACTTGGACTAACAATTCATATTCAGGTCTAACGTCCTTCGTCTGTTTTATCCAGATCTTCTAAATATTTGTGTATACAAACACACACTCACACAGATACATACAGAAACAAGACTACTGGATGTGGTATTTGTCTTCCAGCAGTCGAATCGATTGCTGTAACCGAATACTATTCTCTACAAAGATATGTAAGCCCCGTTTTTACTGAAACTTCTTTGCATCTACAAGCGTATATTAGTCTAGTTCAAAATTTTAATTTACTCTAGTTAACCTATCATTGGAACAACGCGGATTGCATCGATTGGTGTTGAAGTTGTTTGAACCAGCTTTCATTGTATTCACGTTTAGTTTTTCAATGTTGTTGATGAGAACCTCTCGTGTCCAACGGACCAAAGGCATCATGATGTTGTAAGTTATATATACCATTAACTGATTCTGTGACATGATTTATAACATCGTAGGCTATATTATAGTTGCTCGTGTTAAATTACCACCAGCTACAAAAAATGAAGTGAAAAGCAAGGCGTAGTCGTCTTGTTTTTGAAGAAAATTGGGAGATTTGGATCCTCATTGGCCAGAGTGACATACCTGGGGAAGGAGATAGTTCCCCCATTTTCTGGCGAGTTGGATAAAATTGAACCTGAACTAACTTTTTGAAATTTTTTATTCCCCTTCAAACGTTGAAAGAAGTTTTACAAAACCAGCGAACGAGAGCAAATGGTTGCCAAGGTTTTATCGCTGTTCTGCTATGGGTAGGTCGTGATGATATTCTTTAAGGTGTCTCCGAGGTTTATAAAAATCGATGTTCCTTTTAAACTTCAATGGCTGATCTTCTGCATGAACAAGATTCCTTGATCGCTTTCTTAAAACAGCTTGCTTAATTTAGAGTTTGAACTTTTTAGATTGATCAACAAGTTAATTACATTATGGTCATAAATCTTAAACAATGATATATACAAGGTAAATGATCCTTCCATATCTCCGTGTGTTGTCCGCGGGGGTCGATTATTGTACCTCGGGATCATTTACAGGCATCCCCAAGTTATTGAAAGTCACGTTTGGAAAACACTCAGCACTAGCGCCAGGTAGCATGGCACCTTTGCCTTCAAAGATTCCATATAAACGACATGTTTATAATTCACCTGTGTTGAATGAATAAACAACTGCTATTTTTAGTATCCCACACCAATTAAAACGGCAGAAAACGTGCTAAGATGACGCACAGCAATGTTTCCATCCATGGGGTATTAAAAATAAACAAAAATATTAGAATTTGTATGACCTACTCGCCAATCATCTTGCCTATTGCCATGTTCAACACAAGTAACCTTATAACACTATACATCATTATAAAGCCACCATTTTAAAGCCAAACCCAAAAGAACGATTAAATCGTATTGCCATGCATAACAGCTATACCAAATTTTCCCCGTCCCCAAAAATAGACCGATTCTATTCTTTGATTCGGTGGCAGCTATTGTCTTACCCGCTATTGACGTTTTACGTGGTTTCGAAAAAACCTAGTTGTTGAACAAGTTGCGACTAACACAGAAACTCTGCATTTTACTGGGTATTACGGGATATCTATTTCATTTCAATACTGAACGTATTGATGACAACCTGACCATGATTACTGCAAAGTTTTTACATTTAACCATTCTTGCACGTGGAGAAAAACAGGCTGGTGAATTGTTCAATTACTCACGTAGAGATGCCACGTGTTAACTGATTCGCTTTTTTTTTATGTTTTTTGAGTATAAAGGCGTTTTACTCTAAACAAATGTTTCTCCGTCATTTTTTTTCGCTTTTTGTTTCTGTTTTTTTTAAAAAAAAAAAACCGACATGTTAGCTCTAAAGAATTCTCCTATCTCAAGAAAAAAAAAGCTAGGATACACCCCCGTTTCCTATTAGATTTAACAAACGAACAACTTTACAACATTGTTTCCTTGGCTTTTTACTAAAAAAAAAATAAGGACATCAAATAACATTCATTTGTTTAAGAATAGATAAAAAAAAATGATTCCAACCGGGCAATTATATACCCCATAAGACCCACCGACACGCCTTTTTCTCGAAATGGTTTTATTGTTGCCCAGATTTCCAACATTACAACATCTGTTTCGAAGCATCTCGAACTTAATTAACATAAGTAAGAGCATCCGCAGCGGTTCACTAAAAGTAGTCACTACATTAATTAGTGCTTATTTTTAGTGAAGTGTGTCCGCAGCGGTTGCATCAAATTTCACTAAAAGAGTTGATGTCAGATGAAATGTCGGGGAAGTCACTGGAAGTACTGCGAACACTTTATTAAAAATTAATTTTTCGTTCTTTTCTTTTCGTTTCTTTTTCTAAACTTTTCAGATCAAATGAACACCCAAACTGCCATCTCCATTCGTAGCCCCTCTCCAATTGCAATGGAGAAGGAGATTCAATATGATGGTCATCATGAAAACGTCCAAAATGACAAGAATACCGGAGATGCCCAAGCTATTCAGAATGATATGCGTCCTTCGGTAGCACCTGTTAAAGAGGTCAGAAAAAATTTCTCTAAGCCGGAGGACCTGCAGATCTGTCGATCATATACCGCCTATTGCATTGATCCAATTTCTGGTACAGAAAAAAAGGGCAAAGTGTTTTGGGATGATACCGGCTAACAATTCAATGAATCATTAAGTGAGGATGACTTTGTATGTCATAGAATCCCGGTCAGTATCAAGACTAGATGGCTGAATACATTCAGCCTAAAACATTGAAATTCTCTAGATATATGCGAAGCACTACCAAGAAAGCCAGTGGTTCAAACTATGCTTACAACGTGAGTGGAATATAACAAAACATGTATCTAATTATGTTAATTAAGAGCAAAATTTAAGGTATCATTGGCAAGTAAACTTTATAAACAAGCACACCACAATGAAACATTTGTTTTCATGGGGTGCTTTGAATACTTGAGTGCTTTTGACAAGTGGAATCCTGAACCCACAAAGCGGATCAATAAGGCATCCTTGGAGAACTCCAGCAGCAGCAGCAGCAGCAGCAGCGAGTGTCCTGAGGGAAGAAAAAGAGCAAAAGTCTCTAAGGCCGCTTCTTCAGTTTCTGCCGGTAATCAAGACGAATACAAATGCTTGATGGATTAATTGACGGCAATCCAGAAGAAGTCCGATGAGGCGGCAAATTTGCGAGCTGAAAGCCTCAGACTTGAGTTCGAAAAGGAAAGTGAATGGAAGTTCATGACAACTGATCCATCAACCATCACGGACCCCAACGTCGATCATGTGTACAGCAACAGCAGATCGCGATTATGAAAAAGGATGATCCTGAATATGATTTGATTCAATAAACTTTTATGTTTATTTAAGATTCTCCTAGCATAATCAAATGATGGTCAACAAGGTCCTTTTGAAGTTGGAGATGCATAGGACGATCCATAATGCTTCTCCATTTTTCCACAAACTGCTCAGGGAGCCCCCCATCTAATTCTCTAAGGGGACTGTACGAGAAAGGGTTAGTTCTCAAATTGCTGATACTGTCCAATTTTTCTTCTTTGTCCCTTTGAAATTGAATGATCATATTGTGCAAAATGATAAAAGCCATCATGATTTCTTGGATATCGTCATTATCCCAACCCATTGCTGGTGTAGCAACGATATTGAAACGTTGCGGAAGTATACCAAATGCACACTCAACATCCTTTCGAACGTTACCGACATTACCGATAAATTCCTGTCAAAAAAAAAATTAAAAAAGAGCTTTAAAAATAGTTGCTATTGATACGAACTGATTCTTTTTCGTTGGATGGATTTCTATGCCCTTTGACAAACGCAGCATATTGAAGGTAAATACCATCAGTGAGGTAATACCCCATATTGTATTGATGGCCATTTATACTAAAATTGACATCAGGTCCTTGACCGTTCGCTACATCTTGGAAAAGGTAAGAGCGGTCAAGGACGTTGATGTTATTCAAAGATTCAGTAAGACCAAAAAAGGCATGCCAAATCCAGGGATCGTTGGAAGCGACAGCTTCAAGGATGATCGTAGGTACCCTTTCCTTGCCCTTGTACATCCCATCCCTGCTAGTGGGACCGTTTTTCCACTCCCAATGCATCCAGTCCAAAGAACCTAGCATACCAGGAAATCCTCTCTCCGAATTTTCTTTCAGTATTCGTTCCACATCTTCATTCGTAGGTGATCGAAGGTATTCCTCCCCGTACAATCGAATAATGGCCTTGGAAAAATGTCGCAAGGCATTCCTACCGGTGGACTCGGTCATTCCATATTGATCATTCAACATGTCTGGTGGAACACCGTAAGCAAGTTGGCGAACAGATATAGCCATTTTAAGAAGACCTGAAATACTTGATCTCCCAGTTGCATCATTCTTCTGCTTAAAATACTTATCCTTGTTTCCAAATCACCGAGTATTCTCAAAAACAATTCCTTATCCATTCTAAAACGACGACGAAAATAAGTGTCTGGATAGGTAGGATTCTCGGCGAAGTGTTGCTTAAAGAGTCTTTCCTGCTCCCTTTCTATGTCCCAGTCAATATGTCTCTTTTTCTCTTTTACAACCCGTTCTGTTTTTCACTTTTTAAATGCTTGGAATAAATTTTTTTTATTACGGTCTAATTGCAATTGTCTTTGCTTTTCTTCATCCTCAAGGAATTGTGCCATCATGTTATGCTTAATCATGTTTACAAAAGTTAAAGAAAAAAATCAATGTAATTATTTTTTGACCGCTGCAGACTCATTAAAAAAAGGGACTACATTTTTAGTCCGACCGGAAAATGACCCATTTATTCAGTGAATATTTTAGTGAACCGCTGCGGATGCTCTAACATCACTGCACTAGACGACATTCAGTACTTTATATACATGAAAAGTCAGCAAAAGAATATTCCGTCGTGAAGAAATCAACACGCTAGATGCCAGAGTATAACTGATATTGACCCTTCCTTAATCACCCAGCAATGCATTACCAGTGAGCAATGCTTTACCACTGAGCAATGCTTTACCAGTGAGCAATGCTTTACCACTGAGCAATGCTTTACCACCAAGCAATGCATTCCCACCGAGCAATGCAATTACATCGGACAATGCACTACCAGCGAGCATTGCATTTACATCGGGCATTGCACTACCACCTAGCATCACATTAACTAGAACCAACATGAATTGTGTCTTTTTTCAAGGGTAAGTTAAAGTATTGAATACGGACGTTAACGCAATAATAGGCTATCCAAAAGGTTCACTGACGTTGCTCTTACTGCATCGAAAACAGAGCTGCCAGTAAAAAAAATTTTATTTTGAAAATAAAAGTATTATGTGTGTGTGGAACTAAAAAAGGAAGAGGAAACAAATGCAACAGAAGGGTATCCTGGAAGATCAATTAAGAAAGTCAATGAAGTTTTTCATTTGTATTTTAAGTCTCAATTTTATCTGTCAGTGTAACCGGGGTTACAGGCGTCTCTATATTTTCCATATAACAATAAAAATGGTCCACCTGCTTCGCATCCATGAAATTTTGTTTGAATCTAAGAATACGTTATTCGGTATTTTGGGAGGCTAATATAACCCATTATTTATCGCTGAAGATCAGACGTTCTTCTGGTTCTGGTGCATGGACAGATTTGTGCTATTGGGGATGACGTATGATTCTTCGTCTTAACTCAAGACGTTCCCAAATTTGACAATCCCTCCTTTCTATTTTTGTTCCGATAATCACTGTTTCCATTGGTAATAGTACGTTCATAGTCCACTTTTTTGATACATACTTGTAACAAATATATTCGATGACCTCCAAGCATATCAACAATAGACAGGCAGAAATAAAATACATATAATGAAGAATTTAGTTTTGATTTAAAAAATGTATATATTTATATGATCCGCAAGTAGTAAAAATAAAAATGAAATAATAATAAAAGGGGATAAAAATATGGGATTATAACGTAAGAAAAGGAAAAGGTTAAAAAGAAAAAAAAAAAGGTTTTTTGGTAATTAGTAGTAAAACTAAAAAAAAAAATCACGAGAATAATTTTTTTACGCATTGGGCCAAGGGATAGGTTGTTTATAGTTGTTGTTATTCGAACCATAAATACTATAATACAAAGGATCCCATGTTGATCCTGAAAGATTCGTAATGTGACATCCTGTGTAATCTTCAAGATGCTGCTGTTGAATGGGATGGTCGCGGCTGTTGACATGATTCGACGCAGATTGCATGAAGTGTCGATATACAATATAAGAATTCTGATACTGCTTAATTATAGCAGCATCGATTTCATTATAACAGATATCACGACTATGGTTCGAATATCCTGCTGCTCCTGCGGGTGTTGGTTGTGGTGGTGCTACAGGTTTTGTTGCTACGGGTACAAGTGGTTGCAGAGGCCGCAAACCAATGGTGTACAAGACACTGAGCACAGTTTTTTCTTGTTCGGATGTTGTCGTGGGTAAGCCATAACAAGATAATCTGTCACGACATTCATCTGCCAAAGTTTTCCATTGATTGTAATCTTGACTTTTGATAAACAATCGATAATTGATACCTTGCAAAAACTCGGCTTCCATTTGGTTCAGGCTGGTTAACGTCATGCCACTGACTTCCGACCACGTAGTGTTAACAAAGGTAACGTCATCAAGGAATTTACAAGCTATAATAAAGGAGACAGTTAAATAAAATTTCTCTTTTTAATAATTTCCACAAAATATTATTTACCCAGTATCAATGCAACAACGAATACTCGATATTCAGATCCTTCAGATCCTTCCATCGCTGGATTCAGCCGTAATAATAAGGCCACATATTTAAGGCTGAGATAAACAGCCGACTCACTAATGGCCATGGCTTTGAAAACCTACAAGAAAAAGAATAAGTATTTTTTTGCTGCGCATATAAATTGTTCAGACATACATAAGAGCAAAACCACCGAAAGGAAGAAGTGGATTTACCACCATACGAAAAGGAGGTCAAATAGCCTCCAGGACAAGTCAGGTTCGTGCTTTTACGACAGTGCCACATTACATAAATCATTGATGATGCGAATGCGGCAAGTTGATCGATATTTTGATAATCAGCTCTCTGGAAGATGAGTGGTTCGGCCGAAGAATACAAGTCTTGGTTGGTAATCATTTTTTTTTTATAAAAAAAAACGGAGGTTGTTTTATAGATTTTTTTTTTGCAGGAAAAAAAGCGAGCTCTTTAGATTTAACGTGTGGTATTTTTTTAAAAAAAAAAGCGAAAAAAAGGAAGAAAAAGCCACAGAGAAAAATATTTTCTGTGTCCAACGCCTTTTATACCCAAAAAATAAACTTGTCACGTCCCACGTGATACCTGCACGTGTGTATCTGTACAATCAATCGCGGTGTAAAAAAGAAAGAAGGAGATGTAATGAAGAAGAGATATGTGTGTGGTATATAGTAGTATAAGGATAAAATGAAGATGCTATTTTTCTTAAATTGTTAGTAACGTGCCTCCAGTTTTAAATAGCGATTTTTTGGATTTTGTTTCAATTTTTTTTGAAATCGAAACAACGGCATCGGGGGCTTTTTTTTTTTTTTTTTTTTTTTTTCTTTCTAGATTCCCTAGTTAGACATGCATCTGAATGTTCATTCTTAATCGGTCTGACTAATTGTGAGCATGCTCATCGTACTATTTTTTATGCTAAGTCAGTAATCCGGTATCAAGTCTAGCGTTTCTGTGAGATTAATAAGACTTGCTGACAAATTTATTTGCTTCCTGCAAGACATCTCTACCGTCATTACAGCTACTGAATGCTTCAATGTAGTTCATAGATCTTTGAAAAAATCTTTTTATGTGAACTACATTCAACGCGTTATCCAAATAGTTTCATTAGTTATCATCAAGAGACTTGAAAGTGTAAGCAATTATCAAACGTGCTTCCCTTTTGGCGGAATCCCAGTAGATTTCTATCCAGCTGCATTCAAAATGATATTTTGGACACGACTCAATAATGTGACCTCCGTCAAGAACTGCTTGTTGCGAAGAGGACTTTTGCGCCAGAAAGTCAGGTGTACTTTCAAGGATGTGACGAGCACAACAAATTGATCTGTGGCCTGAATCCTTCCACTTAGAGAGCATTTTCCGACCATTGTCTCCCAGATCAAGACCAAGCAATTGGCCTCTTTTCTCCAAAATCTTTCGAATTCCTTTAAACTATCGTATTTCCTTTGTCTTTATGACATATCCCAGTCTGATGGTGACACTGGTCATCTTGGTATACACAATGAGTGATCCTAGCGGGTGCCATTGGTTAGAACCATAGTCGTGACTTTGAACTTAGACTTTTCCGTGTCTTTGTAGGACCTCTAATAAAATCACATACGCCATGCAACAATATCATCATAACCGAATGTATTTTAATTGGGACTGTTGTCAAAGATAAAGACAGCTTGATAACCAAGATGGACTGGCTCAAACAAAGGATTTCATCGTCTTGAAGCTGCTTGAACATGTCAGTTTACTTCCAGTACCCTTCTCTGCCCACACCCGCTTTAAAAAACAATCTTCTTGAAGTCGAACCAGCACTTTTAATGGTTTCATTGCAAGGATACTAGTATTCACTGAGCATTATTGTTCATCCTGGGAACTTCTTTCTGATGTTGTTCTCATCTTCTTGTAACCATAGATCATCACTACCATTACTTGTGTAAAATGTGGATTCATTGTGCGTAACCAACCCAACTTGCTTTATACCTTCATCCAGAACATGCTCAAGAATTTCCTCCTCATTGTTACCAGCATAACATTCTGATCTTTTCATGTATTCGACCATTCTTTTAGACCATTCCTCTCGGTAGCTGATCACATCCACTTTCTTATGGCCGTCGAAAAAATAGTCTTTTTATTTTTTCGGTGTGAGTATCCCCATTCGTTTAAATAACGGGAAATTTTTGTTATACTTAAGTCATCCTCTGCCAGACCTGGAACAGAAGGAATGATTTGGTTGTTGATGTTCTTGTTGATGATAATCCAAGTACGAAGAACTGGTTTCCTCTGTCTAATTTCTTCCAAAACGGCTATCTTGACATCCGAGTATCTTAAAAGTGATACCCTTTTTACATGGGCGCCTCGGGAGTGATCACAGACTTTACATTGATCAATAAACTGCTTTGCCACTTAACAAATTTCATCCCACGTTATTCATTTGAATTTTTGGGGCCATAACATTTTGGCTGCTTCTTCAGAAACTAATCCTTTATTTTTTTCCACCAAACGATTTGTACGATATTCGTACACAGATAAGTTTCTAGATTTGTTGTTTGATGCACGATCGTAATTGTCCTTCTTCTTACCCGTTAAAGGTGCAATAAGAGCCATGACAGCAGGCATAATGTTTTTGATCCCTTCGATTTCTTTTTCCGGCGTGCGGAATGAACTTTTTTTATTGCGGCGTTTCCACAATTTTTACAACAGTATATCCAAAACACTGAGGTGCATGTGCTGAATCAATGTTTGCATTCTCGGCATTCTTTCTCCTTTTGTTGTTCTGGAAGTACAGGTGTACGTAATAGGTCTTTCGGTTATTTCTGTATTGCTATCTGAAATAACATCAAGACAACTCGCCTCAGCTCTAACAACTTGGGCTTGTTCCACTAGTTGATCGGGATTTAATTGCGCTGTTTCCCATTCCTGGAGTACCGCCTCGGCTGATTGAATGCATCCGTCTTCTCTTCTAAGTCTGTTTCTAATTGCCTTTTGTGTTTTGTTAGGTCTGAGCATGTTATAAAAAAAAAATTACAAAAAGAATAAAAAGGATCATTTAACATTTATCAGACGCGTAAAATTGTCCCCGTTTGATTTTAGGAGGCAACAATGGAAAGACTCTCAGCATTTATTTTCATATAAAGTAATATAGCGAACCTTAAGACATGATTGAATGACATTTAGCTATCTAAATTTATATTTTAATAATTTGTACAAGATTTATTAAAAAACCATAAAACTTTAAAAATATGTCAAGTCGGCTTACCCAAAAAGGAGTATGTATCAGGGGCAGTATTACATGCTCGACAAAATCACAGCCAGGGTAGTGTGACGACCGAAAATGATAGAAGTCTTAAATACTTCAATTTTTTCTTATAAGTCAACAATAGGAATCATGAGATATTATTGCACATAGTTTTCTCTTTTGTTTTATGTAACTAAAAATTTCATAGGATTTATTTTTGGAAAACCATAAGCATTTAGAAGACCAGCCCTGTTGTGGATTCCAATGAGACTGGGTTTTGAAGGGGAAAACATTTTTGTCACATTTATCAATAGGAATAAGGCCATTTTTTATGTCCGACATTTACACGATGTGGTGAGGTCACGGTGACTGAGATATGTAACTCAAGCCATCCAATGGGTACCACAGCCAGTAACAAAGCGTAGAAGAGCCTCTGCCAATCAAACCACACCATCCCCATATTAAAATATAATCATACAAATAGTTTCAGAAAATCAAATATAAATTAACCAAGTTCAAAATAAATAAAATATAAGTCCTCTTACACCCCAATTTCTACGTTTATCAATACTTTCCTTGTTAGTTGGAGAGTAGATTATAGTCAAGAAGGTGCTCAGATAGTTTGATTTATTAAGCCAATAGGTAAGTAGAATCCCGTTACAACATCGAACAGAGAGCGAACTTAGTGGGGTGTGCATAGTAGAATCTGAAATCTCCAGCTCCCACTTGTACGTCCTCGCTTAATTTTTTAAAAAGTGATCAACTTTGATGTCCTACAGCTTTTTTACTGCAGCAAAAGTATGTTTTTATTCAAAAGATATAGTTTATAAAGATTCTTTATATAATATCTTTTTATTCGCATTGATATATCGGTTGATTTTGAAACGTTTTAGGCCTTTAAAAAATACAAAAAAATCGCTGTTTAAAACTGGAGGCACGCTATCAATATTTTCGTCGCTCCCCGAAATAAGAGGGTTCTATCCTTCACTCCGTGGTTACTATTTTGTAACCAGCTATTCACGTTATACGTGGTTTTGATGAAACGCTGTTGATAAACCAGTTGCAGCTAACACAGAAACTCTTGTATATCTCCCTATTACGGGATTTTCATTTCCTTTTAATATTTATCCGATTCATGACAAACAGATCAAGATTACTACCAAATTGCTACGTTTGGTCATTCTTGCTTCTAAAGACAAACGGGCTGGTTAGCCAAATTAATAAAAACTTGATCATTTGTAACCAATCTTCTCCTCTGTTTTTCTCGGCGGTTACCTATGAAACTCATAAGTCACATTTGTTTGCTAAGCCTCCTATAATTTGCTATTACTTTCGCCTTCACTACTTCACTAATTTTATGTTAGCTTAATACACGAACGATACCAGTTAATGCACAGGTTCAGAACGCACAGTTTATTTTATTTGATAATTCGTATATTAAGCAACCACCCCTGCTTCTCCTTCTTTAAGTAGGCCCAAAAAAATCAAAGCGGTCACCGTAGAGTCCACTAAGGGCATTATTGCATGTGAAAAACTTGAGAACATATCAACTCGTGGTTTTTGGCCATCTATGTTTATCTTTGGTACCTACTGTAGGATGAACAGAGGATATCCACCAATATGTCATTATAATTTGTGAAGTATCTACGGTTTTTCCTAGACACATAACACGAACATCCAACGATATGCAGCGAAATTGTTATTTAAGTTCGAAGCATAGTTTTAAAGTTGTCGTATTATTGGAAAGAGAGAAGAAGCTTGTAGTCCCAGGCCTTTATCCCACACTATGATATGTTTACACTTTAGCTAATTGTTTTTGTGTAGGTATGGAGACTGTTCTGTATTTATCCCAAGTATCAGATTGTTTTTCTTCTGAATTTCGAATTAATAAAGAAAAGATGTTAGCAAAACAAGAGTGTCCTCCCTTTAGAACTATAATGTGAGTCCGTCTGCTATGCCTCAAACCAAATTATTAATGATACAGAGGCTCTAATCTATTATTAAAGATCAATGAAAAAGATAGACAGACTTTAAAGTAAAACTTACAAGAAAAGGATGACATTTTCAAACAACCCAAACGATATGGAACTGCATGTGAAAGATATACATAAAGTACTCTTTTCAATCTGATTCAATTAAGAAATAATAAAGACACCGATTTCCCACATTTACTACCAATAACACAAGAGAAATAGTTTTTACATTATCCTTTTCGTACTCAAAATAACACACATATGTCGTCTTCTTTAACTCTACTTCTTATTCTTTTTTAGACAGTGCGTTCTTATAAAGAGGCACACGTGCATAAACCACGTGACACGTGACTACCTATTTATTTTTGGTATAAAGGGCGATTTAGAAAAAAAAGTTTGCTCCGTGGCTTTTTCTCCCTTTTTTTTATTTTTTTTTATTTTTTTTTATTTTTTTTTATTTTTTTTTAAGATAACGCGTTACGCATAAAACGTTCGCCCTTTTCCCAGAAAAAAAAGCTAAAAACCAAACCTCGTTTTTTCCTATAGCAAAAAAATGAATCCAAACAATCATTTATATAGCTTCCCAGACACTCTCAACGAACAGTTCGCTGGCTATCAAAGTATCGAACAACTTGCGAAATTCGCATCGTACATGGTGTATGTAATGTGGCACGGCCGTAGAATGGTAAACAGAACAAGTTCGGGAGAGTATATGAACTCCTTTTCGCAAAGTAATAGATCGTTGTATTCGTTTCAGCGCTTTTGCTTATATGTATGTTCCAAATATTTGTATGCGCAGCAAAAAAGAAGTCTTACTCTCGTTTTTTGTAGATTTTTAAAACCATGTCTATTCATGATTCGGCTATTTATCTTTGTCTGAAATACGTAGCTTTATTGTTACAAATGAATCCAGCAATGGAAGGATCAGAAGGATCCGAGTATCGTATATTCGTGGTTTCTTTATTACTTGGTAAAACATAAATCTCTGGAAACCATTAAAAAAAGTAATTTTATTAAACTGTCGGCTTAATTTATAGCGTGTAAATTCTTGGACGATATTACCTTTGTAAATACAACATGGTCGGATGTAAGTGGTATGAGATTAAGCAGCCTGAATATGATGGAAGCCGAGTTTATGGAAGGCATCAACTATCGATTGTTTGTCCGATCTCAAGATTTCAATCAATGGAAAACGTTGATGGACGAATGTCGTGATCGATTGTTTTATTATGGCCTACAGACACCAGCATTCGAACAAGAAAAAACAATTCTTAGTATCTTATACACCATTGGCCTACAACCAATGCAACCACGAGTATCCGTAGCAACAAGAGTTGTTGAACAAGCAGCACCACTTCCAGCAGTAGCAGTATCAACTGGCGTGACAGGATTTGTATATACTTGTGAACATATTGGTTGTAATGACATCGAAGCTGCCAACATTAGGCAGCACCAATATGCGTATAATCAATATAGACACTTTCTGAAATCATTGTAGATTGATGTCAACTAACCAGATAACTTAGTTACCACCATTTGTTTTTAAATAAAATCTAAAATACTTTTCGTTGAGGTTAGTTTTTCACTGTCTATTCCATTATTCTTATGCAAGCAATCTTTCTGTAAGTTCTACGTATACAAACAGCTTAGTTTTAAAAACTGTTATCAATGGGGACTATGCATTTAAGGGTAAGTATGAGAGCCGCCCCAAATAGATGAATGGCGTTAATGAAAAAAAAAGGGTCATGGCTCTTTTCCAATTAGACGACTGGATCTTCCCACATAAATCAGCAGCAATAAAAGATTGGTGATATTAGTCAGTCAAACAACGGGATAACATATGGTAGATTCGAAGTGCGCTTTGATAAAGACCGACCAGGAATACCATTATTGTTATTGAAGACAGAAACGTGGAGAGACAAGCACTCTCAGTTACACTGCCAAGAAAGAGGAAGACCGAAAACATAAAGAAAACCGTAATTGCTCTTTTTATTTCGTCACACCGATTTCTCTTCTTTAAAATCTGTTTTGTCTTCATTTTATTTTGGACACACATACACGGCTTTATTACTAAAAAATGACAAAGTTATCATTGGCAGTTCTGTTTTCAAAGGAACGATAGCAACGTCAGTGATTCTTCCGGATTACCTATTATTAAAAAATCGTCCGTATTCAGTACTTTTACTTGCCCTTGAAAAAAAGACACCATTAGAGTTGCTTCTGGTTAATGCGTTGGAAGGTGGTAGTGCAAAGCTCGATGTTAATGTAATGCTTGGTGGTAATGCAATGCTTGGTGGTAATGCAATGCTTGGTGGTAATGCAATGCTTGGTAGTATTGCAATGCTTGGTGGTGATGCAATGCTCGGTGGCAATGCAATGCTTGGTGCTAAACGAAGGGTCAGTTGCAGTTACACTACATCCTCTACCACGTTGATTCTTTTCAAGACTAAATATCTTTTGCAGACTCTTCATGTACATGAATTACCGAGGGTCTTCTAATGCAATGGGGTTACTGATGGGGATTCACTTCAAGAAGATTCAAGAGGGAATTTGAAATGTTGATGATCTCAGCAAAAAAAAAAACACCCCATTTTGGAGAAAAAGGGAGTCAAAAAGTAATTTATGATTTTTTTTTTTGGAAACACTTTCCCGCTAGATGATCCTATGAAATTCCAGGTTGTAGTTGATGATAGGCACTTTTAAAATGAAACTTCCAAATTGTAAGAGCTAATAATTTTGTGAATCACAGGTGTTAGAAAGATTGACTGAAAATAACGTACTGCAAGTGACGGGTTTTGTTGTAATGAAGGCTTATGTAGAGGAGTCTAAAGTTAAAAAGAAGCAGAGCGTAGAATATTTTTTTTAATACTCTTCCAATGTTTACATTTTTCTCTCATCATTTCTGTTTTTCTATGATAAAAACGTAGGAAAACATAATGTAAATGATGATTATTTTGTCTCTTAAACAATTTGAACTCAATATTGGATCATTAACTGGGTTAGATTTATTTCTGCTACAAATACTTTGGGATAAGGTTGTCATAAAGATTGGCTTTGAATGAATTCCTTATTGCCAAGTGATTAGCTGCTACAAACTGAACCTTCCGAATTTTATTCTAAACTTCGAAAATATCAAGCATCAGCCAAAAGTTGAAACGAAGATTGTCAAGATGACGTGGATGTAAAAAAAACATGTTTCTGTTGAATAAGTGCGATACAAATTTCGGTTAACATTTTATTGTGGTAGGGACCTTTGGCAGCACTTCATATATTATTTTTATACCTATTGGGAATGTATATGTGATGATCATGTTTCACTTTGTGCGACAAATATGCTCTATAATTAGACAGCCATCAGACTCAATTGGTTTCCACCATCTTTCAGCTCTTTGAATCTTTTGTCATGATGGACATAAGCTATGACCGATCTTTATCATTACTCATTATTATATTCAATTTCCTGTTTTTATTCTCTATAAATATTGCCCAAAAGTTCGCTTTTCCGAAGTGTACTAACCATGTATATTTTATAGTGATCGTCTCTCTTTCTATTCTCTTCTTAAAAAGGTAACCCACCTTCTGTGGTATTTGAAAAAATACTACAATGGAAAAGTAATGTGATAAAAGTATATTTTATTAAAGGTAAAAATAGACTGAAAGAACTCTGCTGCTATGAAATAATTGATCTTCTTTTTTATTGCACAACTCTCCTAAGTTTTAATGATGAGTCAACCTTTCTGGTTTTGGAACCGATCTATACTTTGTTTCCCGTCTGAGGTTAAATGGGTACTACTCGCTAGAAATTTTTCCAGTTAACGATGTCCCATATCAGTGGATCGGGAGCATGAGTATTTTAATAAAACTTTAGTATAACGAGACACTTATTTATCAGATCATGGAACGGTTGTTGTACAAGATGCATACTTGGTTGTCAAGTGTAATTAGCTATAGAACATAAAAGTTATCCTTTATTCATTATCTTTGTAATGAATAAAATACGATCGCAAATATAAAATGTCTTATGGATATTTGTATATTTGTTTGTAGAAGACGGGTATCCATTAATTCATACACTATTTCTTTATATTCTTTATCAGCAGTATAATTATATCAATATATACGTAAATGAACCATTTTTATTAAAAGCTGTTCTATTTTCTCTCTGGGTAGCTAATCCATTGAGAGAACTATTAATATTAAGTTTCTCTTTCTTATAATTCTTGATATAATCTGAGAATTTTCTCTTCTCGATCGGTGATAACGTAACTCAGTGGTATAACATTCTGTATTCAACTGTCATTCGTATATGGCATATAGCCCAATCATGCAGTCTTTAGTATAGAAGTATGTACTTGTTGTAGGAGACGTTGTATAGCCGTATACATGCGTATGCTGGTATGCAACATCAAAGGTTGTTTTAATCACGTAGTTTATTTATTTAAATGATTTACTTAATTATTCTTAAGTGAATCGTCCGAAATACGACAGTTGTAATCGGTTGAGGTACTGCAGTAACCTCTGGTTCAATCACTTGCATAGATGCCGCGTTGCTTGGGATAATGGGTGCGTTGAAAGTAACGGCTTCCATAATTTCATGTGATTTGTTATAAAATGTAAGGTCGCTTGGATGCTCGAAGCGCTTACAACATTCATTGAAATCACAAGGAAAGGAGGTTTCGGCTTAGTATTCATAATTCAGGAAATAAAAGAGATGGACATATTTTTTTTTTGACTTGTTTGTTTATATGCAAAAGTTTAGACCAGAGTTCTGAAATACAGCTATTCTCAGCAGGTTCTTTTTCTTTTCGTTTTTTTTTTATCTCTTTCTTTTCGTTTCTTTAACTTTTTCACTTCGCAAGTTATTTTCTCTTATTCCATTTATAAATGCTAAAGCTATCTATCTTATTGTTTTTAACTTTTATGCTCAAGATTACGCTCATAACTGTCTTATCTATGTGGAAGGTATATTGCTACAATGCATCTTTTCTATGATGGACAATTTTCGTTAAAACGGACATTTCGAGAACTTGAAAGTCTGATTTTCAAACTATGTGGTAAGTTCATGATGAGTGACATAAGTGCATAAAGGGATCCAATGGGTATTACAGCCAGTAGTAAACCGTAGAAAAGCCTCTGATAATCAAACGACACCATTCTCATATTAAAATATGATCATATAAATAGTTTCAGAAAATCAAATACAAAAATTCAAGATAAATAAAATATAAGTCTTTTTACTGTAGAGCATCCCCAGCGGTTTGCTAACTTTTTTTATAAATTTGTTTTTTTTTTATGGACAGTTTTATGATTTTGAAATTTCCACAATCGTTTATTAAAAACAAAGTTAAATTTCGGTGGCTGTCATATAATTTTTTTTTTCACTTTTTTTCACTTTTATTGACACAATGTCTGCAATGTCGACTTTCGAAAGACTATTTGGCAATGACCCTGCAGAGGATTATAAAATGCATCTTACTGCTATGAAAGGTTTTTTAAGGGTTTTGAAAAAAGACAAAAACCAAAAGCCTCGTGTTATCAAAAAACGTCGAGTTGTCAAGAGAGGACGTACAGTAGGACTTGAAAGGCTCATGAACGATTACTTTTCGGAAAATCCAGTATATTCCGACGCTGGTTTTTGTAGAAGATACAAAATGAGGAAAATTCTCTGCTTTCAAATCACCGAAGCAGTGACGGCTCATAATAGTTACTTTGAGCAAAAGTATGATGTGGCCAACGTCATAGGCTTTACGCCAATCCAGAAAGTAACAGCAGCCATACGTCAACTGGCTTATGGAGTAGGATCAGACGCAGTTGACGAGATTTTTGCATAGCCGAAACAACAGCCCAAAAATCCTTAAAAAGATTCCGACATGCAGTTGTGGCTTTGTTTAAGGAGGAGTGTATGAGAGCTCCTACGCGAGACGATGTGGATTGTTTGTTGGCGATCAATGAAGAGAGAGGCTTCCCTGGTATGCTTGGATCCGTGGATTGCATGCATTGGCGATGGAAGAACTGCCGAACTGCTGATTATGGGCAGTTTACTGGTAAAAGTGGTCGATATTGCATTATTTTGGAGGCTGTAGCTTCTCAGGACCTTTGGATTTGGCATTCCTTTTTTGGTCTTCCTGGTGCCCTCAACGACATCAATGTTCTCCACCGGTTCCCCAATTTTTGCAAGCCTGACCAAAGGTGATACGCCTGAAATCAAGTTCACGGTCAATGGCAATACCTATGACAAGGGTTACTATTTGGCAGATGGCATATACTCAAGTTATGCTACACTTGTCAAAAGCTTGCCAAATCCACAGCCCGAAAAGATAAAGGTAAGCCATGGAAAGTGGGATTAGTATGTTTACTTTGATTTAACGTGTTATATGGTAGAACTTCGCAAAGACATAAGAGGCGGTTAAAGATAATGTAGAACGGGCTTTCGGTGTCTTATGGGCAGGTTTTGCCATTCTCCAAACACCCTCGCGCCTGTTCAAGGACCAGGATTTACCTGCAACCATGGAAGCATGCATAATTTTCCATAATATGATTGTGGAGGATGCGCGTGGATTAGATCTTCCTCTTTCTTAGAAAGCCCATTCCTCTCCTCCTCCATCGTGTCGTCAGAATGTGTCATTCGGTGAGTTCGTTGCCAATTTTTTTGAGATCAGAGATGCTGATACATACGATCAGCTTCAATTCGATCTTATTGGACATTTATGGCAAAGACGAGGAGACATGTAGATCCCTTAAAATATATAAAACCCCAAATAAACTATTTGTTTTAAAAAAAGAAAACCAACTTTTATGTTTAATCATCTTCGACCAAAACCGATTCCTCATCTTCAACCAAAACTGGTTCCTCATCTCCAACCAACATTGGTCCATCTTCAGCGACCAAAGAGTGTTGACCATCATCAATGGTTTCGATGATGGATAATGGATGGGACTCTGCCCTCGCCAAATCAGCCGCCTTCAGACCTTCCAGGATGCTCAACTGCTTCTCCTGCTCATAATCCCAGTAGGGAAAGAAGGAGATGGTTGACAGATTTATCATCAGGTAGCTCTGGTCACAGAAAAACATTTTCTCTTTTTCCGCGAAGTCGATCTTCCTGTTGGTGACCTCAACAAACTCGTTCAAAGTGTTGCGGATCTCATCATCCTCGTCAACAATGTTCTTTGTCATGGCCTTAGCCCTCTTGCGTCACATAGGACGAGCCTGTACCTCGGCATAGTCCTCGACCAAAACACTCATGGCAACCCTGTTTGTCTTCGCCTTCACCATGAATCGGGTGGCTTCTACACGACTCCTCCACTTTTCACTCATTCGTAAGACCTTCCAGCAATGCAAGAAAGTAAAGATCTTCTTATCCTTCGTCTCGGACGCCTTGTACATCTCAGTGGCTCTGATAACCTTCTGTTTCAAACATTTCATGTCAGTCTTTACATATGTCAGTTGTGTTATATGCCGCATCAGAGGGATCAGGTCCACTAGGGGCAGGGCCTCTGATACAAGTTTCGAAGGACCCACAAAACTTGTTGACAGCAGAAGCAATTGTCGTGAATCTGTTCTGTTGAGAGTTTTCTGCTCTCTCAGTAACAGGAATTTTGTAGACCTTGATGAAGTTAATCGCAAAGTCTTCTTCGACAGCCTTCCAAAATTCAAGACTTCTGGTCGTTGCCCTTAATTGGGTTGGTCGAGACTTCAACCCAAGATTTACACAACTGGGTGTCTTCTTCGAAGGTCCAGTTATTGCCACGGGCACCCTTAATACCCTTTGGCTGTTCGTTTTCCTTTTGCTTTTGTTGTTGTTGTTGTTGTTGATTCGACATTGTTATTTTAAAAATTTATCGGAAAAGGAGCAAAAAAATTAAAAAAAAAGTCAGAAAAAAATTGATCGTTTACAAATTTAGCTTTTTTTTTAAAAAAACGGCTGGAGTTTGATTTTGTTAAAACAAAAGTCAAATTTAATAAATTTAGCAAATTTAGCAAACAGCTAGGGACGCTCTTACACACCAATTTCAACGTTTGTAAATACTTTCCTTGTCAGTTGTAGAGTAGATTATGGTCAAGAGGGTACTCCGATAGTTCGATTCATTCAGCCAATAGGTAATTATAGTCCCGTTACAACATGTGGTGGAGTAGCTGGGCCGTTTTAAATCAAAAACGAAGATATCTGAACATCCAATGGTTTAATAAATTATAGGTAATTATAACACCAAAAAAACAAATCGTGTAATTTCCTATAAGTGCAGAAATCAACGTATTCAAGAAACAAGAAGTAGTACTTAAGCAACATGTTCGTATTAACTGTGGACAAAAAACCGACAAGGATATCACTTTATCCGCCGGTGAAAGTAATAATAGTAAAGAGCCAAATTTCTCGGGTGCTGGTAGCTCACAAGATCCCCTAAAGTTCATCAAACACTTTAACAAAGCTGCGAAATGGAACAATTGGAGAGCTGATGATCGAAAAAAGGAGACTTTCTTCTCTGTTTATCCGGTTATTCAGAGCGCTGGGTTACGAATCATTTGATGCACGATTTGGAGGCGTTTGACAAGTTAGCGTTTGAAGACGAACAAGAAGAAGGTCTTCTGTTGCAATTTAAAACGCAATATGTAACTGAAACGGAATACGAAGTCTGTACAAGAGTATATGAGGAGCGAAAACAAATAGTATCTGAAAAACCTTTGGATTACCTGGTGGCTAAGCGTTACCTATTCCAACGTGCTGGTCCTGCGTGTGGAGAGCGATCCATCAAGCGAAATAATGAGAGCTCTCACTCCAGAATTTGGAAGATTCTGCAATCGAAAATTAAATGATCCATTTAACCATGCTGCACGTACCACTTTCAATGTTTTAGAAGAGGTAGTGAAGCAATTAAAATGGGCAGAACAATGTTTGGACGATGACAGAAAAATAGCTCACGGGTCACACGAAGAGGTTAAAACTAGTGTTGCAGCTTTGGTTCTGAAACGAGATGGAGGGTCAAATAAGAAATCTTTCAATCATGTGTCGGCAATCAGAGTAGTCGGTGTTGAGGATATCATTTATATAGTAAAAACGTTAATTGTCAGATCACATTGAGGATGGATAATAATATAAAAGTTAATCATGAATCAAACATTACCCCGCTTAATCTCATCCTACCGTTGGAGTCTATTCACAGGGCACTACGCAGTGGGAGTATATATGTATTCTGCAAAAAGCAATACAATCGAATGGTTCTGGACTATGGAATATTATTAGATCTTAAGCACAAATATAACTCTTGTCATTTGATGTTATAATTATTGATCCATCTGACTAATATTTATATACTCAATGTAAAAGGGTTGAATTTAATGACATGTTCATTATTTACTAATACCACTTCATTACATTATGATTCAATAAGGCGCTTAATAGTCCTCCAAGAACTATCCCAGTACTTTATATAAATGTCCATAATTTTTTCTTATAGACCATGAATACGTTTTTTAATTAATTTAGACTTTTTGTCCGTAATAAAGGGGTATCCAAGTTCTAACAGTATCACTTTTGGCTTACTTTAAAGTTGTTCTCCATGCAAAACACTCGAAACAATTCTTCTAGTCTCAAGGTTGTAATGTTGACCGGGAATTGACAGTCTCTGATCGTATGATGTTGATGAGAGATTATTTTCGAGGGGTTTCAGGCTGTAGCTTGAATTAATTTATGATTTCTATCGTGTATTCTAACGGGTCACGTCACTATAAAGTCGAAGTTTCTGATTTGTATCTTCGTTTAATCCCTTTTGAGTCAAACTGTCTTATCCTGCGCTTTATTCTGAAAAGGCTAATAGCGACCAAGAATTATAAAATGGAAAGAACTAATGTTTTATTGTTGATGTGTAATTCGTTAATAAACTCAATTGAGTTACACAAAAGATCTTTCAGCTACGCTCAAATTCTTCACAAGGTCAAGTCTGAGTTTGAAACGGCCGTACTTAACAAATTGAAGACGTTGAATATTATCGAAAATAACTCTGCGTTGTTGAAATATCGTTTATCGTAATTAGAGATAAATGTTAATAAACCGGATCGTCAAAAAAGACCCAATTGTTTCAGAAGTTCAAGTAATTCCCAAGTTCAAGTGTTTCAATTGGGAATATACTGGTCATTAAGCTAAGAAATGTCCCGATCTATGCGGAAGGTGCGAAAATGCTGATGATGTTCCAGAAAATTGCGCTCCACCCTAAAATAAATCCGCTATCAAAAATTGACAACTATCGCAGACAAATTAGAGCGGAAATAACGATCTTTTTTTAAAAATATTGTTAATGACAATATCGATCAAATTTCCAAAATATCGCGATTGAAACTATCAATCCATACACTAATTTCACAAAATATTCGCGTACTCACGGAAAAAAATTCGTTCATCTTCAAGAAAAAATTTCGTCCAACGACGAATTAAATAATCGCACAAAAATTAATAAATAATTCGTGCATAGTCTACGAACGAAATGAACGAAAGAAAATATATTTTATTAAATGGGGTTACCATCAAGACAATCATCAAATTTGTTTTTTAGAATATCTAAAAAAGCCTTGGAGGTTACTGATAAGTACATTGTTACATCTCTAATTCTCATTGTCAAGGTCTCTTCATCCAACAGCTTTACCCTTATAAGTTTACTCTTACAAACTGACCAAAACTGTTCGATTGGATTCAGTTCAGGCGAGTAACTAATTGGCAAACTCAAAAGATGTCCAGAAGTACCTGGGCACTATTGGCTATCATTTAAGCTACTCATCTACGCCATTACCGATGAGATCATGGGATCTTAAATCCATGTGCAAGAAAAAAAAGTCATTTATCAAGAAACTTAACAGATAAAAAAGACTCCGGTGAGCAAGAATTCATATCTCTTGGACGTTAAACTATTGGAAGAAGGTGGTATATTCAGACGAAATAAAAATAAACAGATGGGCAGACATGAAGCAGCGTTTTACCAGAGTAAGAAATACAGCAAGAGAAACCGGAGTTGGTGGAACTGTTCCAAACATGCCGTACTACGAGGAAATTGCTAAGATTACTCAGGATGATCCAAGCATCCAACCTGAAGTGATTTACGAAAGCATCAACATGGAAGAGAGTGGTATTCGGTCTTACAGACGATTTAATGACGCCAATTTGATAAATGCTATTGGATCCGATGGCCCTCAAACAACATACTTCGGACCTACAGAAGTTGATCAACTTGTAATTTAGAAAGAATTTGCTGATCGATATCCTGCTAGAGATTGTACCAACAACGAAGGACCTGCAGTGCTATCATTTATTGAATCAGCATCCGCACCTCCCCCACCAACAACAGCACCAGCACCAGCACCAACACCAACACCAGCAACAGAACCAACACCAACACCAGCAACAGCACCAACACCAACACCCACACCAACACCAACAGCCGTACCAACCTCAACACCAACAACCGAACCACCAACACCAACACCGACACCTACATCAGCATCCGCAGCACCACCAACATCGACAGGCGCAACACCTCCACCACCACATTCATCCACACTGTTTGGGATGGTGATAAAAATGTAAATTAAGGTAACAAAAGAAAATACTGTTAGAACTATGTATATCTTTTATTTCGAGAAAATTTAGATTAGGGAATTCTACTAGCAAAAACTACAGGTGTTTATACTAAATGATTAGCTGGCTTTCGGATAATATATGTGACGCGTTAGAGGAATATGATATAATGTTATACGTAATGTCTGTTTAAATAAATATGTTATGAAGTAATTCCTGCCTTACAAAGTAAAGACAAAAGTACGTGAGGATCTAAATTCATCTCCGCAGGTGACATTACGTAAATGCCAATGAGAAAGTTTAGTACGTGCAATATTCAGTAACCGAATATTCCGCCTATGGGATTGTACTATACTTTTATGGTATTATAATATTTTACTCGTCACAAGGCAAATCACCTTGTGCACAGATACCAACGGTTCTGATGATAACAGATGGGGCGAAGTGTGAGCCATGAATATTTATACATGATCATCCATTATTATGTAAAATGTGATGATTCTTTTATTATAATCTATGACGTCCTCAACACACACCTCCACCTCCATATACATCGGCACCACCTCCACCTCTACCTCCATATACAGCCGCACAACCTCCACCTCCACCTTCATCTGCACCACCTCCACTTCCACCTTCATCTGCACCACCTCCACCTCCACCTTCATCTGCGCCACCTCCACCAAGATCTACCCGTACATCGAGAAATAGTCGAACTTCTGGTGAGGAGTCTTCATCAACTCCTGATCCTATTGAAGCTGCTCGTCAGTTGTCAGACGAGCATATGGCACGTGCCCGCCAACTTGGTGAAGAGATGATGGATCGCATGGCAGCATCACAAAGGGAAAATCGAGAACAAAGACTTCTCGATGTTGATAACATGTTGAAACGTATCAGTCGTAATCGACAAATTGCATTGGAAGATATGCAAGCAAGACGGCGACAAGAGACCAGAGAGAGATATCTTATGTTCGAAGAAGCAAGAAGTAGCCGAGAGGCTGACATGGAAGAGCATAGACGTAGACGTATCGCTGATATGGAGACTATCCTGAATAGATTCGCAGCCATTCGAAGAGGTGATAGTGATACCAATCTTAATGGCTCATCTTCTACTGACAACAATAATTAATTAAATAAAATAAAATTTTTAATTCATTAAAACCTTTTGAAAACTATGAAAGTCTATCTGTTACCCTCATGATATTGTTTCTTCTTAAGATAGACATTGTCTTAAAACGGCGCATCCCGGTTGCGTCGATGGTAGCGCTGGTACCATCAAAAGGAAGAGGGAGTTCAAAATTCACCTCGTTTTCATACTGGTTTCGGCGATCTGCCTCCACAAAACCCTCGAAATCTAATCCTCCATCCAACACTGCCTCTTCAATGTCATTTTGATTTATACAAATGTTGTGTAAATAACGGCAAGATATGATAGTTTTTGGCCATTGTATCAACACTAAGCATATACAAATGCTTCCAAAGGAATCTCCACCGGGATGTGAGTCCACCAAATGCATGTTCTATTTTTATGCGAGAACTAGAAAAGATTTCATTGAAAATCTTTTCTTCTGCAGTGCTTTAACGTCGGCCATGAAATGAAACAATGAGGTTTGGCAGCAAAGGGTAAGCCGAATCTAGGTCACATCATTAATAATTTGTACACTATGGTATGATTAATGAGTTTACCTCCCAAAATATAAGTGTTTGCGGGACACCATCTGGCTGCATCAAACAAAAGTTTATGATAGATTACACTGCTAGTAAACACTCGGGCATCATGGTTTCTGCCTTAATATAATAACAAACGGTAAGCTGGTAAATCATTTTTTATCCTTCCATACGAACTTACCGGAATGCCCAGTTTTTACGTACATAAACCGAGTACGGGCATCGTATATGGCCATTAAGTTCATAGATGCGTGGCTCTTTCTATCGACATATGCATTTCCGTTAATTGCTGGCTTTTGAATGACGACCAGTTTGCCATCAATCGCACCTAGTACACCAGAACGTCTCGTGGCATCAGGTCCACCAAGTTCTGGAAACTCACGAGCATTGTTTAAAGCTTTATCTCTGTCGTCGATAGGCCACGTTATAATTTCGGGAGTAATCTCCAAGATGGCATCAATAAATCTGTTTGTGCAATTATTGAACGATCCAGCAGTTACTCCAAGATGTGTTTCAGCAATGCGATGACCAAAATGGGTGTTGGCAAATCTCCAAAGCACACACGCAACTTGGACTTCCACAGAGTATCCACCTGTCATGAACCGCTTAGGTTTCAGTTGTATATTATCATGCAAAATGTCTCAGATCATTATTGAAACCCAACTAGCACATTGTCCCTGTTCCACCTGTTCCACCTGTTCCACCTGTTCCCTGTTCTCTGTCTCCTGTCACACATGTCACTGTCAAACATCACTATTGTATCCTGTCTAACGTCTCTGTTCCAAATAATGTATCTCCGTTATCCCTTGTCCTTGTCAAACCCATTTAACACCCGTTTCCTTTGTACCTCTGCCTTTGAACTCCCTTGTAAAACATTAATAATATCAGCCCATGTTATCCTCTGCATCTTTCCCCGAAATTATCTGTATCTATGCCCGCTACCCCAAAGATGTCCCAAACTCAATATGACTAATAATCTGTCTCTGTATATCTGATCCCCGAACCCTTGTTTACCCGATCTGTCAATTAATATAAATAACAGCATGTTTATTTATTCTTTTTTCTGTATTCAAGATTTTATCTATTTTTCCTGTTTCTTTGAATAAACCTTTTTCTACCTACATTCCTTTATATATATATTAATACTAATAGATATATAATTTCTCTTTGCCTTGTCCCTCACCTTAATAATCATTCTGTTCTGCTCTTGCCCCGCCCCGCTCCTGACACCACCTCGCAAAATTGATTTAAGATAAGCAGAACATCTACTTAAACTGTTGACGAGCCACTCAAAGGTACTCTTGTTAACGCGATAATGGGCTCTATAACTGTGGCGGCTGTTACAATCATCTGACAGGTTAGGGTGCTTGATTGTCCAGTAAGTTTCATACGTGTCCATACACTCGGTTCTAACAACCCTTCTGTGGACTTCTCTGGTCATCATCCAAGGGCTGCTTATAAAAATATAATACAAAATGTCGTAGTTGACAAGAGTGGTTGCATGTAAAATTGTTTCCCTGATCCAAAGTTCAAAC